TTTTTTCCCAATGCTAACATACAGGGAACGAGCTTTTGTTAAGTAAAAAAGACCGACTTATTATATATTTTTCTCTTATTTTCTTTTTATGTAGAGATTAAAAACATGATTTTCATATTTTCAAACTTTCCAAATAAAATTAAATCTGAAAATCAAGGAAAACTAAAAACTGCAGAGAATAAATAAAATAAAAATATTTTAAAATTATTTTAAAAAAGAAATACATATCAATATTTTCTGAAACAAAACGTACATAAATAGCTGTGGGACAGTTACTTATATTCGCTACACTTTGAATATGCACCTCTTAGATCAAGAAGTCTTGAGAAAACAAGATAGTGATATCATCTTATCATCATAATTTCCATTTATTGAGTGCCTTCAATGGGTTAAGCATTCATGAACATTATCTCACTTAAACGTCACAGCAACCTATAAATAGGGTTTAGCCAAAGTTTAGGGAGGCTGTAACTTGCACGAGAAAAAAATAGTAAAACAAAGGTCTGAATCGGAAGTGTGAGCATTGAACCGCACCCACTGCAATGCTGTACTATGAGTAAGAAGCGACTGCACACAAAAGAATGTTTGAAATTACACATCTGTCCATTTGCTGATGTACATTCACTGTCTAACACATTGCCTAGTACATAACGACCCCTCAATAAACATTTGTTTGATTTTTAAGAAGTTATCACAGTCCCTATACAGAGGCCAATAAAAACAGTCAGTGATGATGCTGATGTCAATAAAGAAGGGGAAGGTAAAAAGGTCAACCATTGGAGATTTTTAAAAATATATTTACTGATTTCAGAGAGGAGGGGAGGGGGAGAGAGAGATAGAAACGTCAATGATGAGAGAGAATCATCGATAGGCTGCTCCTGCATGCCCCCTACTGGGTATCGAGCCTACAACCTGGGCATGTGCCCTTGGCCAGAATCGAACCAGGGACCCTTCAGTCTGCAGACTGATGCTCTATCCACTGAGCCAAACAGGCTAGGGCAACCATTTGAGATTTTCAAATTCTCAGGAGATCACATTCCAATGATAGAATTCACATCATGTAAAAACCATCAGGGAAACAAAGGAAATGGGCTTCCTGCTATTACAACAGTGTGCATGAACCTTCATCGTAGGTACACCTTGGACTAAATCCCAAATTCTCTGTATCCCATTTATTTTATTTCAGATTCACATGTAAGTAATATGCACTAGTGCTAATAAATACATATATCTCAACAGTAATAATTCTCATCATCTAATCCTTTGTTTCCAATTTTATTCTTTCACTTTTGCATTAATAAACAGTGAACCATTAATTTTAATTAAAAGCTAAACAGAAAAAATATTTTCAAAAGTTTTTACATTATCAAAAGTTTAAGAATTTCATAAAGATAAAAATAATCAAATATTAATATTAGCTATAACTTACTGAGTATATACTAGGTATTTTTATATATTCTCTCTAATCCTTAAAATAATCTGGGAAATTAATTAGTATTCACATTTTACATGGGACAGAGTAAATTCCAGACAGAATATAATAATTTGTCCAAAGTCAACCCTTATTAAGTCAAAGCTGTGATCAAAACTTGGGTCAATCTGATTCCAAGGCTTTTGGTCTTTCCATTACTTCATTCTGCCTCACACAGAACTGGGCACTTTTTGTTTTATGTGGTTCTGACTATACCAGATTCTTATTCTTAGAAATTATACAATCAGCTGGGAAGACAAGATGATTAATATGTACATAAGTTACACATAAAGACACAAAGATAAATAAGGGGCAAATCTGAAACGGAAGAAAAATGGCATAGGTAGGATGGCAAAATTTGATCACAGGCATCATATGAATTTCATGAAAGTTTGCTTTATGTGTTCTTTATGTATTAAACTTATCCACAGGAATTATTTTAAGATTAGAAAGCAAGTAACTTTTTTAAAAAATCACATCTTTTAAAAGTAACATTTTCTTTTTCTAATACAAAATCTAATCCATGCTCACTGGAGAAAACCTGCTGTTGATTGAAACATTAATACATCCATTAATACTACCAAAATTTGCCTTTTTTATTGATTTTCTTTTTTTATTTATTTTTTTTATGAGAGAGAGAGAGAGAGAGAGAGAGAGAGAGAGAGAGAGAGAGAAACATAAAGTAAGAGTGATACTAGATCTGCTGCCTCTTGCATGCCCCCTACCGGGGATCAAGCCTGCAACCAAGGCATGTGCCCTGAAGCTGGGAATTGAACTGGCAACCTTTCCATGTGTGGAATGATGCCCAACCAACTAAGGCACACTGGCCAGGGCTGCCTCTTGTTTTATAAAATATACACATATATACAGGGTGTCCCCAAAAATGTACACACACACTTTGAATAATTATAAAGGCAGTATTTATTAAAATACATTCCATTTTCAAAATTGAGCTAGCAATTTTTTGGGACGCCCTGTTCATATATATTTTTTGATTATATGATAAATACAGTCTTCCCCTACTTCTTTTTCTTAATATTGTCATAAACATTTTATCATCTCATCAAACATTCCTCAGAAATTATTTTAATTACTGCATGTCTCACATAAATGCCCCTTCATTTAACCATTCCCTTATTATTCGATTGATTTTAGTTCTCTTGCTGTCATAACACTCATATGTGAATATCTTTATATATATATCTTTATACTTTATATACTGAAATGAAACAACTCCTATTTCCTTGAGTACCTGCATTTTATTAACATTTTATTTGAAATACCTATTGACATATATTTATACTTGTATCCCAGTTGCAATTTCCAATGTGCAGTTCAGGATGTTTCTGCATTTATTTTTTTAATGTGAAATATCTTGACTTTTAAAATATTTACATTTTGCTTACTTAAATGTATGTGCATATTTGTAATATACTTTACCAAACACACTTTTTATTTCAAATATAAAAATGAGCAGTGATAGAAACAAACATCCACTAATTATTTATTCTTTCATATGACACTAAATAAAACATGTAACTATAGTCCTATAATGCTCCCCTTTCTATTCAGGTACTGACATAGTTGTTTTTGTTATGGTGTTTTGCCTTCTGACCTCTCATAGGTAGAAGATAAGCTATTTACAACAGTATGTATGAGAAATTATGAAAAAGTTCATGAGTCTACCAAGGGTCAGTTAATAAATTTCTAGTAGCTTCAAACCAAAGAATTTCTTAAGCAATTCAGATTTTTTATTTCCACATATTATAATAATAATTCTCTCTAATGTCACAAGTAAAGTATCTTTACTCTTTTTTCAATAAAATAGAACTGAAACATTAAAAAGTAAAGATACATTCTAAAAATGTATACTTTAAAAACTAAGTGATTGGTCATCTTTTTTTAAAACTAGATTGCTTTGTCCAGAGAAACTATATAGCATTATTATTTTCATCAATTTAGGAGGCTATAAAAACATACTAAACATGTTTCTAAAGTTTAACATTTACTTAAAAAATATCATTAATGATAAATATTTGATTAATAAGAATCATAAGGCAATCAAATTCTTTCCATTTAATGCATATATGATTCATAGTTTAGCCAAAGGGAAACCTCAAATATATACCAATAAATATTTGAAGTATATAATTAGCTACATTATACAAAAGTTTAAAGAGTAAGTAATTTTGCTTTCTGACTCTTCCCCTCCAAGAGCGATGCAGACATATTAATTCATAATTTTCGGTCACAATTGCCTAAATCTTATTAAATATATTCTCTAAGACACATACAAAGTTAAATTATGTTGCAAGCACCTTAAAACAAATGTCCTTCTTGTAATATCTTCCTAGTAAACAGCCAAGAAACTTCCAAATTGTTCTGGATTTATATATGAGTCATTTGTTTTTAATATACTGTTAATTTTCCTTAAAATATATTACTCCCCCATTTTCCCACCCTAAAAAATCATGGTAGTTTAACAGAAAAACAATCATCTGGTATTTAGCTGGAGTATTTATTTATAGTCATTTTGTCTATATTTTCATAGTGCTATTTAATTCTACTTTGTACAGTAATATTTTGAAGACAGACTGTATCTGCTAATGTCTCTGATCATAATTTTTTTATATATGCAACTAAGGTTACAGGTAAGTGGCTTATAAAATATAATAACTTCAAACAAGTCACAAAATATAATTATTCCTTAAAATCATTCTAAATTGATATAAAAATGTTAAAATAATCTCTAAAATGCCTCTGCATGTTAATTGCTATTATTCTATGAAATTTCTCTTTCCTTAATACACTAGAACAGTATGAGGTAGAGTCACAGTGGCATATATGTGTATATAGATGAGAGATCATAACTATTGACAATCATCTGATCATATCTGTAATATACTACAGGCATATTTAAAAATGTTCTCCTCACAAAGACCTGTAAATAAAGATGGATTACAAAATATATTTAAGGGAGTCATTTATAATCTTAAACTTTGGCAATCTTTCACTTTAATCTCAGAGAAAACATTACCTCCTCCATCATCCACATTATCAGATAAAAATTTATTAATTGCACAAAATAGATTTTTAAATGAAATGTAGGTTTCCACTGGCAATGAATATATGACTATCTTCATACAAAGGAGAAGTATTTCCTGTCAAAGAGCTAAAACAATAAGTGGTATCTGAACTGCTGGTTGAAAGGTAGAGGCACTGGTAATCATTATTTCCCCTTGTTTGTTCAGGCCCTTCCAACAAAACAAACAACCTTTTTGTGATTGGATTGACATGGTGTTAACAATGCATTTAATGCCCAAATCAGTATGAATACAGGTAAAGCTCTCACTAATACCAGAGCCAGGATGTTAAAGCCACCTATTTTCTAAGCAGCCAAAAAAAAAAAAAAAGGACAGAGCTTCCCTCCTTCGGCAAATAGCTAGTATGCTAGTATTCACCAAGCCACATAATACAATAACCTTGTGCATATTTCTTAAGGCTATATGTTACAATTCATCTACCATACCTGCTGTCTTCTCGGCAATTTGAGCTTCTGTTGCTTTCTCATAGAGTTCCAACTTAAGCTTTAGTTCTCTCTGTTCTTTATCTTCTTTAGACAGTTTTTCTTGAAGCTTAAATATATTGGAAAAAAAAACACAGATTCTTATCTGACAAATTTCTCCCACAAATATAATTAAGCCCAAAGTTATATTGTTTTTTTTCTAATATAAATATATTACATTTAATTGCCTAAATACATAACTTTAGGGATTAAAAAACACACACAATATTTCAGGTTTGAAGATATTTTATAAGTAATTACCTATAATGACATAAAAACTATAAAAACATTATGATATACATTTTATTTGTGTGTGTTTATGTGTAGGCAAATAAAATTAAAGAGGGAACAATATAATTATTAAAAATATATACGGCAAAAAACAATCTGATCAATTCTATTGTCTTAAAGGCAAAGACTTGGGAGGGACTATCCTAGATAAATAATGGACAGCACAGCTTTTCAGCTTCTCTAAATATTTTTAATATTTTGCAACAAAATTAATTAGATAATAATCTTAGTATCTGAAACTGATCTCCCTTGGAGAATGCTAGCCCATCATTATCCATTTAAATTGGCACTGGCACCTGATTCATATTGGCATGTAATAAATAACTGCTAAATGAAAGTACAGAAAATATCTTCAGTTCTCATATGGTATTCCTCAAATGTTTTTTTTTTCAATTCCTCCCTCAGATTTTGTCATTTGTGCTGTTTTCCATCACATATGAGCAACATTCCTAATATGCTTTAGTTTGATTAGGTCAACAACTAGAATATGGAAATATTAAAATCAGACAAGTATGAAGAGGTTAAAGAAAACAGAGGCATACAAAAGTGAACATCCTATATAATAAAAGGCTAATATGCAAATCAACCAAACAGCAGAACAACCAGTCGCTATGACGTGCATTGACCACCAGGGGGCAGATGCTTAACATAGGAGCTGCCCTTGGGTGGTCAGTTCGCTCCCACAGTGGGAGCACTGCTCAGCCAGAAGCTAGGATCACAGCTGGCGAGCGCAGTGGTGGTGGTGGGAGCCTCTCCCACCTCTGCGGCAGCACTAAGGATATCTGAATGATGGCTCCTGGACTGTGAGAGGGTGCAGACCAAGCTGACGGACATCCCTCCACCCGCCCCCACCCCGAGTGCACAAATTTCATGCACCAGGCCTCTAGTTATTTAATAACATTATTTAATGTTCAAAGGAATGTAACTAGAAACAGAGTCAGAAAAGGTAAAACATGACATAACAAATTGGATTGGACAAAATACAGCAGTGTATGATAAGGTAAATTAAGATATTGACAAACCCTGGTACTTTAAAGTTTAATTACATATATTATTGAGGTGAAATATAGGGCAAAGATATTAATAAAAAAAGAAAAGTAGTGCATTACATTTCTCATTCTCCAAAATACTGAAATAAAGTTTTACAGCAGTGAAACCTGAGTTGACCTTTTTTTTCATGTATCTACTTGAAGTACCATAGATTTATGAAAAAGGAAGTGATATCACAGGCCAGCAAAGGCAGGCAACCAAAGAAATTGCTGTTTATAGACAATCTCTCAACTCAATCATACCCTGATGGCATGATATGGCAACAACCTAAAGCTACTGTTAAAGGATAAAAATACACAGTAAAACTGAACTGTGATGGATAGCAAAATAAGTTTAGAAAGTCAACAGCTAAAACACAGTACAATTATCAGGTTTTTCTATATGGTACCTTTTTATGGCTTGCTCTGAGAATGTCCAATTCTGTTTGAAGAAATGCAATAGTCTTGTCTTTATTTAAGTCTGAAGTAACTTGACAAGGAATCATACATTCATAGTGCAAATCATTATTTGTATGTTCCATACTGCTGTAATAAAGAAAACTATTTATTAAACAACATAAACATATAATTTCTACTATACAGGACCTATAAATTTTACCCTTCAAATGGGGAGTGACAAATTTAATTTTAACAAGAAATAGATAAAGTTACTTAATTTTAAATTTCTCTTGTTATGCACTAAGAAAACCCTATGGATGAAAAGAATAAATATATCAATTTCATAGAGGTGTTACTCTATCAACAGAGAGAGGTAACTCTGTGGAAAGCATTTAGTAACATCTATGGAGACTCATGGTTTTGTGTACTTAAAGAATTCAGGTTTTAGGGGCTGTGAGTATTAATTTAATTTGTACTTTTAGTCAGGACTAGATACTTTTTTCACTTTCCTGAAAGTGAGAACAGTAATCATAATTTTCTTTCAATTTGGTTGACAGTGTAATACTTTCATTATTAAATTTAAAACATATTAAACATGAAAACTTTTTCCTGTAATATTTAACAGTACGCAAAACATCTTTTTTTGACATTTTGCAGGCTATTTGAGAAGATGTCAATTTATTAGCGAGTAGTATAACGCAAGGGAGGGGAAAAGCAATGGGCAGTTTCAATGGCATTATATTTGTAAGCACAGGTACATCTTAGAGTCTCTCGGAAGAAAGTAAGCAGTGAGGCCTGGGACAGCCAGTGCAGCTCTACTTACCACGTGCATCTTCTGTTGCAACTGTCCTAGATATCTCACGTTCTGGCTTTGGCCCAACCTCTACTATTTATTTTTCTCATGTGGTTATAAAATGTTTGTCACCTCTTCACTCATCCCTACTCCTTCTCCCCCCAAAATATGCTCTAATCTGTACTTCAGTAAGAATATAACTCATTGCTAAGTGGCAGGAACATATTAGTATATCTACTGAATAATTTTAAAGCAAACAAAAATAGCTGTTTCCTGTGTAAAATTATGAAGACACTAGAGGCCCAATGCACAAAATTCGTGCAAGGGGCTCGGCCCTCGCAGCCGTGGCAGCTTGCCTCAGCCCTCGAAGCCCCAGCTTCATCCAGAAGGTCGTCTGGAAGGACATCCAGAAGGTCGTTCCGCTATCTGGTCTAATTAGCATATTACGCTTTTATTATTATAGATATTCTATAAAATAAAATTTTGTCTGAACTGAAAATATAATTACATCAGTCATTGAGATTTTCTAATATAGTAGTATTTTCATAATACATGACTAATTATGAAAGTACCTTAATCCCATAGATAAAAGTGACAGATGTCACAAATTCAAATCCCTTCATGGGATAGATAGGGAAGGTAAATAAGTAAAAGCTGCAGACTATAAAATAATAAAGATAAATAAAAGTATACAAGGCCTTTCTAAAAGCATTAAAATTCATTTAAATAAAAATTAATGCTAACCAATACCATATCTCTGGGCTTATTTTGTTCTGGAGGTACTAGGTTTGGGCTCTGATTTAAAAAATACCATTAATGTCAACTCAACAGTTATTTCCAGATCCATAATAAAAGATCACAGAAAATAATATTTAGCTAAAAAGAATAAGACCTCATGGCCTTTATTCAAACTCATCTTGTGCTTTTTCACTTGGCAATCTAGACCAGCGATTTTCAATCAGTGTACCACAAGAATTTTTAAAATATGTCAAATTAAAAAAAAATGACAACCAATACAACAATAGTTGTCCAATATGAATGAATCACAATTATACCTTTTTTGTCATGTTGGCAAAAATACTTTTTTTTGTGTGAGTCACAGAATTTCAGTAATTCATTTGTGTGTGCCATGAGAAGAAAAAGGTTGAAAATCGCTGATCTAGATACATCATATTGATGTAATGGAAAACAGTAGAAAACTCTGGTAGATTCCCCAAATTTTAATATACTAATGATATATCAAACTTAGCTCACACCATAAAGAAGGAAGGAAGAATGAAGTGAGGGAGGAAGACAAAAAGAGTTCTTGCAATTCTTACACTCTGGATCTAAGGCTGCTGGCACTCACTTGGATTTTTCAGAAGTGCAGTGAGATGCCTCACCACCTGGATGAGGAAAATTCCTTGACTTCTGCTCTGACAGTTGTGTGTCCTCACATGTGGCTTCATTAACTAATTCATTGCATTTCTGATGCTTGCTTCCCTTAGAATTCTCAGTCAGCTGTTTGTCTGGCTGTGTGCTTTTATTTCTTCCTGTAGTCTCATGTTCAATAAAACTTTGGGCTGTTTAAAATAAAAACACACATAATGTAAGAAACACCATAGCTACATATTAAATCATTCAAATGAATATTTTTGTGGAAATAAATGCTCTCAGAGCTTTAAACATGTACTTATTAGTCTTACTCCTATTGTGATCACATAAGCATGAACAGCGTGATTCTGCCATGAATATTTCCATTCCCACAGTGAGAGAGCATTTAGGACAGTGGTTTAAACATTGGATTCGGGTTGGAATAGCCTGAGGTGTTTCTAGAAATCCAATAGCCCAGACCCATCTTATATTAATGAAATAAAAATATCTGGGAGTGACTGGATGACTCCAGCATGCAATCAAACTTGAAAATCATTGATTTAGAGGAATTATTTTCAGATTACTTTTTCTTCCTAAACTTTAAAAACTAGGTTGCAATAAGTTAGTGATTATAGTAAACTGATATTGTGCATGGAACTCAGACTGTCTGGATCAGAATTCCAGCTTTGCCAAGTACATAATTTCGGGCAAGAAAACACACCCACACCTCAGTCTTCTTTTTAAAATGGGAACGTAATAAGTTATCTCAGTTGCTGTGAGGATTAACCGAGTTAATACATGCAAAAAACTTGGCCTAGTATCTGGCACATCTGTAAGTGTTAGCTATTATTTTTGTAACCATTATCATAATATTATAAAATGAATATTAGGATTATTTTAACTCCCATTTTATCAGATATGTGTTATACATTAGGGGATCTGTTTCATAAGGCCTTGCTATCTCATAAAAATTATTTTAAGCTGTAACTAGTAAATGATAGCTATTTCAAAAGAAATGTATTATTTTGGGGGAAGAAAATGACCTAAACACAAGGGCACAAAACAAACTCTTTCACCAGTAAATTAGATTAATAGGCACAAACACTGATTGTAAGTAGAACTTTATTATATCCACCAAAAATATTAAAAAGCAAAACTGTAAAAAGCAGGTAAGTATCATCTGCTTCTTGGTGATGCCATCTGCAACCAGCCAAATTTAAAATTCTTTTGAGGCAGAGAGAGTAGTTTTAGAATAAAAGCAAAATGGGGCATTTATAGATAAGGTACTTCTCACAAAGTATTCTTTCTTTAAGAGGAAATTTTTTGCTTGTATATGTGCTGAAATTGGAGCCAGTTAGAAACTCCACGTCGTGGACACTGTCTTATTGGTGGCTGAAGCTAGATTAGAAACCACTGTAGTAAATTACTCTTGACTTCACTTTATTTGAGGGAATGAATTGGGAAAATATGCTATCATAATTACCTACTGTAAGGTATCTATAAAATTTCAACATTATATTCTATTTTGGTTTAAAATATAACAATTGTAGGTTTTGGGAGATAATTTGTTGCTTCTTGACATTTCAAAATGCATACTTGGTTGGCTTAGATGTTCATCATGCTGTTTTTCTAGAAAAGCCTGGTATTGGTCACATGTAACCCCCAAAATCTGAATGAGAATTTTATAAATGGGCTCTCAGGAATACCACTATATTATTAACAAACCATGCTTTTCAACACTCACAGAGAACTTGTAAGTAATTCAAATGAAAGAAAATTACAAGTAGATAGTGAAAGCAATATCAAATAACAAAAAGTGTCCCCAGGGACACATCAAAAAATAACTATTAGGGCTTATACTATGCTCCAGTGTATGAGGTACAAAGATTCATCAAAAAGTAAAAGGATGTGCCAGCTATAAATCACCCCCAGTTGCTTATGCCAACACCACACCAACTGCTTCAGAATCTTAAGTCTTAACTCTCTGACCTGTTTTTGATACCAAACTTTGGATTATCTACCAATTGTCCCATATTTTTGTCTCTGTATTTTTGTGTCTAGTTTAGCATCTTTCTCCTTTCAGTTTTTCATTCCTAACCTTCTACTGTTTAGTTTACCCCATCCCTGATATCTATACTTGCTATTTGCTTACTACAATGATAACTTTACTTCAGCTTACCTAATGTCAGATTTGTGATTTGTTGATATCTTGGTAACTCACTGCCTTTACACCTGTGACCGCTATCACCTCCAAATTCAGAGGAGAGGTGGGAGCTTCCCAATAAAAGGACTCCTTGCTGGTCCCTCCTGCATAAGAGTAATTAGAACCCTTTTTACTATTATTAAAAGGAACTCAACAAGTCCTAACCCACTTCCGGATTTCAATTCTAAGTGTTTAATATTTTTTAAGAACCCTGTACTGTGTGATTTGGCTCTGATTAATTCTGGATGTTTCTACTCTTGCTCAGCATTTTAGATTCCTAACTATAACTGTTCCTCAGACATTTGGAGCCTGCTCTGCAAATCAGACTATCCATACTCTCCTATGGAGACTTTGATTTTACTTTAGAGAAAACAAGGCTGATTTATAAAATTTCCCTTTCTGTCTGCCTTTTATTCTTTTTTTTTCTTTTTACTATTTTAGCAAATATTGCTTAAATTCTTTGAATGCTCTCTATGCTTTCTTACTCTGCCATATTGCATTATTCTGTATCAGAATTCAATCATTTGTATAGAAAGTTTGACTTCTCTAATTAATTTATTAATTTAATAATTCATGGAAAACCTATAGTGTGATATGTCCTGTGATAAGTAGTAGGAAAAAAAAAGCCCTAGCCGATTTGGCTCAGTGGATAGAGCATCAGCTCACGGACCGAAGAGTCCCAGGTTCGATTCTGGTTAAGGGCACATGCCTGGGTTGCAGGCTTGGTCCAACGTGCAGGAGGCAGCCAATCAATGATTCCCTCCCTTCATTGATCTTCTATCTCTCTCTTCCTCTCCCTTCCTCTCTGAAATCAATAAAAATATATTTTAAAAAAACACAGGTAAGAAACAGACACACATACACACCCCTCCCCCATCAAGGACTCTATAATACATTGAAGAAAGCAAACTGATCTAATAATTTGAATATAATGTGATAAGGAAGGATTCCGCTAGGGATTTAGAGACCAAATACAATGGCTAAACATACTGATGCTCAACTGTGAACTCTGGGAAAACTTCACAAAGGCATTTGTTACCAAAAAAAAAAAAAAAAAACACCAACAAAAAACAAGTAGGAATATGCAAACTAATGAACTGCCAAAGGATTGGAGCTTGGAGAAATAAAGAAAAAGTAACAGACTATAAGAATAAGAAGAGAACAGGAAGAAGAGGCCCAGAACAAAAGGAATAACTTTAGGAAAAGCACAGTCATTTCTTACATGGACATGACAAGATGGTGTCGTCAGAAAGTGAAAATTTCTAAAATGAGCAACATGTAAAAACAAAGTCCAAGATGTGATTTAACTGGGAATGGGTTGATGAAATAGACTGATAGTGAAGGTACCTGGAGAGGAGGAAATCAAGGACTCAGGGTAATAAAAGCTTAACTCTGAACACACTAAAGTCATCCAGGAAAATGGCAAGAAACTGAGAAGAGAAATCAGAGTCAAATGCAAAATACTTCATGGACTGCGTAAACACACTAGGACAGACATGAGAAAGGTAATAAGAAATGATTGTGGATAACAGTCATTTCCTTTTTCCTTTTGAAATAATTTCAGCCTTATAAAAAGTTGCAAAAACAGTAAAAAGAATTTCTATATACACTACATCCATATTCCCCAAATGTTAACATTTTCCTATACTTGTTTTATTATCCGTTCTCTGTATCTATCTGCCTACCTACACATATATAATTTTTCTGAAACATTTGAGAGTAAGTTGCACTTTGACTTTTCAAGTCAGATTTTTTTTTATAATATATTTTATTGATTTTTTACAGAGAGGAAGGAAGAGGGATAGAGAGTTAGAAACATCGATGAGAGAGAAACATCGATCAGCTGCCTCCTGTACAGCCCTTACTGGGGATGTGCCCGCAACTAAGGTACATGCTCTTAACCCAGTGGTTCTCAACCTTCCTAATGCCGCAACCCTTTCATACAGTTCCTCATGTTATGGTGACCCCCAATTTCATTGTTACAAATTGAACACAATTAAAGCATAGTGATTAATCACAAAAACAATATGTAATTATGTATGTGTTTTCCAATGGTCTTAGGCGACCCCTGTGAAAGGGTCGTTCGACCCCCAAAGGGGTCGCGACCCACATGTTGAGAACCGCTGCCTTAACCGGAATCGAACCTGGGACCTGTCAGTCTGCAGACCGATGCTCTATCCACTGAGCCAAACCAGTTTAGGGCTCAAGTCAGATTTTAAGACACTATCCTGTTGCATCTTGCCAAATTTTCATCGCCTTACTCCAAGCCCAACTGAAATTCAATTTCTGAGTTAGTACCTTTTCCAACCAAGAGAAAAAAATAGCATAGAGACTCTAATTCAGTCTTCAATTATTTTTTCCTGAACTCTCCAACCCAGGATAAAGGTCTTTATGAAGTGATAATGGGATGAAGCTATTGAAGTTTTAGTTGAGCCCAGCAGGCGTGGCTCAGTGGTTGAGTGCTGACCTATGAACCAGGTGGTAAGGGTTCAATTCCCAGTCAGGACACATGTCCTGGTTGCAGGCTCCATCTCCAGTGTGGGGCGTGCAGGAGGCAACTGATCAATGATCCTCTCTCATCATTGATGTTTCTATCTCTCTTTCCCTCTCCCTTCCATCTGAAATTAATAAAAATATATTTTTAAGAAGTTTTAGTTGAGCTGTTGGTATCGCCTATCACCTGAAAAAGCATTACATATGGAAATATCCTATCTAATAATAGACAAACATGGTAATTGACCATACCTTCGCTATGCCTCCCATTGGCTAATCAACAAGATATGCAAATTAACCGCCAACAAAGATGGCGGTTAATTTGCATACATAGGCGCGAAGCAGCGGATCGAAGACTGAAGGTGGCTCCGGCCGGAGCAGCGAAGGCCTGAAGGCGGCTCCGGCTGGAGAAGACTGAAGGCGGTCCAGCCGG